ATGTATTACCTGCATCTTGATCAACACCTCACGGAATCGATACCCCGAACGAATATCAACGGGGTATCGAGCTGTTTGCTTTACACGCACGAACCCAGATTCGATGTTATCGAGTGCCGTTCGATAATACTAGAAAATGCTTCCTGCTAGAGGAGAGGAGCTAATTACCCGGAGTCCCGTATAAATAAGTCTAATTAACTGTTCCTACGGAGAATTGTTCGCGATCGAACAAAGATGTTATAAAGACATTTCCTGTCTACCACTTCCTGTTCAATAACTATTATAATTATTCCAAGAACAATCAGTCCGCGGAAATGATCAACTTCAACAAATGACAATTGCGTAACATTCTTAAATTACTTTTGTAGGAACATTTATAAATAATATTTAACTTTAACGTTGTTTAAATAAACGTTAATTAATTGCATGGAGGTAACATTGATTACTCAACATTCAATTCATTAACATTGATATAAAATAGTTCTATGAAGGATATCTGATTGTTACAGTTTGTAAATATTTAATTATTCAGTAACTATGTTACACATGTTTCGGAATCAATTTAGTGCGCTTAGTCATATCCTCGCTGACTAATTTTACGTAATATGTCGGTTACTTCACCAAATACTGTGTTCTGGAAATTGCAGGCACGCGATAACGCGTGGTCGAACGTTGACACTACCAATCTACGAGCACGCGATAACGCGTATTAGATCATCGTTGACGCTATCAATCTCCAAATATTCGGTATCGCGTGGTGCGCTATACTGTCAATTTCTAAGAACGCGGTATCGCGTGTGATTGACATCTCTAAATTCATCAATTTCTGGTACTGTCAATACTATCAATTCATCTGTACAATCAATGCTATCAATGGGATCAATACTATCAGTGCTATCAATGCTATTAATTCTACCAATTCATCAATTCATCAATACTATCAATACGATCAATTCCAAATTTCCCAAATTCCTAACTCTCCAGATCCCAAATCCCAAATTCCAAATTCCCTGAATCCCAAATTCCCCGAATCCCAAATTCCCCGAATCCCAAATTCCCCGAATCTCAAATTCCCCGAATTCCAAACTCCCCAGATCCCAAATTCCCCGAATTCCAAACTCCCCAAATCCCAAATTCTCCAAATCCCAAATTCCCCAAATCCCAAATTCCCCAAATCCCAAATTCCCCAAATCCCAAATCCCCCAAATTCCAAACTCCCCAGATCCCAAATTCCAAATTCCCCAGATCCCAAATCCCAAACTCCCCAGATCCCAAATCCCAGATTCCACAAATCCCAAATTTCCCAAATTCCAATCTCCCCAAATCCCAAATTCCAAATTCCCTAGATCCCAAATTCCCAAACTCCCAAATTCCTAATCCCCAAATTGAACTCAGCAGAGCAGCAACCAGTGAATCCAAAGAAAAATTTAAAAAATGGCAAACGAAATAAGTGAACGTCCCGTTAGACGCGAACGATCAAGGAATCGATAGCCGGTCGTAAAATTCCTCGCCCGACACGGTGGAATCGGCTCTGTTTTATAAGCCGATGTAGCGACACCGTGGCCGAAACGGGAGAGTTGACTTTTTCCGTTTCGATAGGCTCGCGAGTGAGCGCTCGACCGCAAGCCGACCGGGATAAAAACATGCCGACGAATTTCCCTGCGCTTCGTGGTCGAGCGGAACAACACGCATTGTTTGTTTTCCTCGATTACGCTCCGAGTGTCGCCGTTTCTCGCGATTAATCTCAAGGATACCGGTTACCTCTCGTCACGTGTCATTTCCTCTTCCGTTTTCGCTTAACGAGTCCATAGAAACGTCGTTCCAACGCGATAACGCGCGGTCCTCGTCGCGGAGGATTCGAGACGATAATCGCGGCACGCAGCGCCAAAGTGGCTGTCAGCGTACGCTCCTTTGTGTACATTCAGATACCATCGGTTTCTGCGGTTGTTCCGACGGAATCGATGCAATTAACGGGACAAAGGAAACACCGTTCGGGACCTCGTGTTATCGGTTGAAAGAACCGCGATGTACTTCTACGACGGCGTTGCATCGTCGCGAGACTTGAGGCGTGTCGCTGGAAATCTTGAAAGAGTTGCTGTCAGTTAGTGGATTGATGCTATATTTAGTCTATGGTCGAGTGACGCGTGTGGCGCGTTTCATGTACTTGGGAGGGGGACGGCACTGATTTCGTTTGATAACAGGAAGACAAGTGCAGATGCTTTGAGCTACGTGGAGAGAGATAGGTTTAGAGGTTGAGAGCACTGGTGATTGATAGAGTTAAAGCTTGGTAGCGTTGGAGATTGATAGCTTCAGAGTTTGGTAGCGTTGAAGATTGATAGCATTAGAGCTTGCTAGCGTTGGAGATTGATAGCTCCAGAATTTGATATTGTTGGAGATTGATAGCTTCCGAGTTTGGTAGCGTTGGAGATTGATAGCGTTAGAGCTTGGTAGCGATAGAGATGGATAGCGTTAAAGCTTGATAGCACTGGAGATTGATAGCTCCAGACTTTGGTAGCGTTAGAGCTTGGTAGCATTAGAGCTTGGTAACGTTAGAGCTTGGTATCGTTGGAGAATGATAGTGTTAGAGCTTGGTAACACTGGAGATTGATAGCTTTAGAGCTTGGTAGCGTTGGAGATTGATAGCTTCAGAATTTGATATCGTTGGAGATTGATAGCTTCAGAGTTTGGTAGCGTTGGAGATTGATAGCGTTAGAGCTTGGTAGCGATAGAGATGGATAGCGTTAGAGCTTGGTAGCACTGGAAATTGATAGCTCCAGAGTTTGGTAGTGTTATAGCTTGGTAGCGTTGGAGATTGATAGTGTTAGAGCTTGGTAACACTGAAGATTGATAGCATTAGAGCTTGCTAGCGTTGGAGATTGATAGCTCCAGAATTTGATATTGTTGGAGATTGATAGCTTCCGAGTTTGGTAGCGTTGGAGATTGATAGAGATTGATAGCTCCAAAATTTGATATTGTTGGAGATTGATAGCTTCAGAGTTTGGTAGCGTTGGAGATTGATAGTGTAGTATATTGATAACCTTATTTATTGATAACGTTGATTATTAATATCAGTGGACATTGGTAGCATCACACATTAATAGTTTTGATTACCAATATCATCAGAGATTTGTAACACCTTGATATTAGTAATACTGTACATTGATAGTTCTGAATATTGGTTACACTAAATATTTGTGACTTTATTAAAAGTGTTGGGGATTACTGAGCTTGGGAATTGACAGTATTGATGAATTGGTAGTATTGATAGCATTGGTCGTATGGATGAATTTATAGTATTGATAGCATTGATAGTATTGATAGCATTGATATCATTGATAGTATTAATAGCATTGATAGTATTGATGAATTGATATTATTCATAACATTGATAGTATTGATTGTATAGATCAATTGATGGTATTGATGGTAATCTTAAGAATTTAAAAATTTAGAGAATATCTAGTTTTAACTACAATAACAAGGTTAATTAATAAAATAACTAGCAACATCAGAAATTTATTCATTCAATAACTTCTGAATTAAAGTACCTATCAAAATGTCCAAATTTTATATCTTGCACATCTGAAATCTGAAACCTTCACAATTCAACAATTTTTTTTTGATAATTTATAATCATAAAAATTAAATAATCCAAGTAACATGAAAATCTGCAAATTAACAACGTAAAAAACACAGAAGCTTAATAAAATTTGAAACGTCAGTATAAACCTGATAATCCATGCATGCATTTGTAAACGAGCGATCTCCACTGCTCCATCTCTACCCACTTCATCGTAGACACATATATTGTTTCTGCAACACTGTAATACAAGCGCAACACGCATCCATTTCTAGAGATTTCAACTACAACGCAAGTTGTGCATTTCGGTGCATGTTTTCGAGTCCGAATGTTTGGCCAGCGCAGACAGCTCATGATCCAAAATTTACATGCTGTACGTTAATATTAGGTTTACGGAAGCTTCTGTTTTATGCTTATCTTAGATACCGGCTGCTTCTAAACAATGACTACTGCATTGTTTACCGTGAAGCTTGTACATAGAACAGTTTCGTGTTCATTTAATGAACGCGCTGATAATTGAGGAACCTCGGCGAGATTCATTTCTCTTTGTTGTTTCGAGTAACCTACTTATCAAAACTCGTATCAAAAGATGTCCACTCACGGACCACATATGTGATAGTTTGAAAGTTTTAGAAACGTGGTTGAAAGTGGACGTTTTCTAAGAAGAGAACAAAAAATGTTGCTAGACAAACAATATCGTTTAATGGTGTTTACATTCGAGTACTCATTCTGCTTCATTCTCTTTGCTTTTACATTCTTTCGATTTGGGCATTTAAATTGGTCCTCTGTCTCTTTATAGGTTTGTCTAGTGTCGCCTCTTATATCTGCCCTTTGGTGGGACTGGAGGACTGATAGCATCAGAGACCTTTAGGGATTCTAAGTATTTTAGGTATTCTGGTACATGGAAACTTCAGAATTTGGTGATTTAAGTTGCTGGAAATTTAGAAAGTTGGATACTTGAGAGCTTACGAACTTGAGTTAAGTATTTGAACTTTGTGAACTTTGAGAGATTGCAGTACTTGAACATTGAGTTTGTGGAATTAATGATCTGGAAATTAGGTGACTCAAATTTTATGACCAAGTGTACCTAAGATTTCAGAAGTCATTAAAATTCCTATGTCCCCTTTCCCTAATACTCTAAGCACCTACGTATTTGACTGATTAATCCACCACTAAACCTCATAAAACAACACTTTCCCACAAGGTTACCACAAGGTATATTCCGCCTTTCCTACATCTCCACATATACTCTCCAACCTTCTGTAAAGAAATTCTTCATCCTTCTGCAAACATCAAAAATGTTCCACCACAGAAAGAATAGTTTCATCGCTCGAAGATGACCCTCAAACATCACTTAACATGAAGACAACTGAGAAAGTAGTACAAAACATGAAGTACAAAATGTAAAATCCCAACTTACCTGTTGCCGGTCGTAATCGTGGAAAGTTTCGGCAGACCCGGTATAATCCCGGAGTGGCACACTGACAACACCGGTAACCGCGAAAGCGGATTTCGAAAGGTAGTCGGAAAAACTGGGCCGAACAACAAAGATGTCGATTAGGCGCACTGAAGTCGCGACGAGGTGTGTGCGTGTAACGAAAGCAAGAAAAATCCACGGCGATCGTGCGTCGCGGCCGGTGCCGAGCCGACTGACTGACTGACTGACTGACTCCGCCAGTCACCACCGTACAGTCACCGCACTTGCATCAACACACACCGGCTGGCATCCACTTCCCCCGCAGCCTCCCATTTCCAGCTCCATTCCAGTCGCCCCGGCCTCCCGTGCATCCCGGGGCCTACTCGCCTGCATCTTCTCGGCCCGCGATACAGCTGCGTACGATAATCTTTGCGTTCTCTTCGAGGGAATTTTGGGGAAGACAGGATTCGCTTTTGGAAGATTCTTTGGGCTGGATTTGGATGATGGTGGAATTTGGATGGTGATGGGATTTGGATGAGGATGGGATTTGGATGAGGATGGAATTTGGATGAGGATGGAATTTGGATGAGGATGGAATTTGGATGAGGATGGAATTTGGATGAGGATGGAATTTGGATGAGGATGGAATTTGGATGAGGATGGAATTTGGATGAGGATGGAATTTGGATGAGGATGGAATTTGGATGAGGATGGAATTTGGATGAGGATGGAATTTGGATGAGGATGGAATTTGGATGAGGATGGAATTTGGATGAGGATGGAATTTGGATGAGGATGGAATTTGGATGAGGATGGAATTTGGATGAGGATGGAATTTGGATGAGGATGGAATTTGGATGAGGATGGAATTTGGATGAGGATGGAATTTGGATGAGGATGGAATTTGGATGAGGATGGAATTTGGATGAGGATGGAATTTGGATGAGGATGGAATTTGGATGAGGATGGAATTTGGATGAGAATGGGATTTGGATGAGGATGGGATTTGGATGAGGATGGGATTTGGATGAGGATGGGATTTGGATGAGGATGGGATTTGGATGAGAATGGGATTTGGATGAGGATGGGATTTGGATGATGACGGGATTTGGATGATGACGGGATTTGGAAGATGACGGGATTTGGTTGATGGTGGGATTTGGATGAGGATGGGATTTGGATGAGGATGGAATTTGGATGGTGATGGGATTTGGATGAGGATGGAATTTGGATGAGGATGGAATTTGGATGATGGCGAGATTTGGATGATCATGGGATTTGGAAAATGACAGAATTTGAATGATGACAGAATTTGGATGATGACAGAATTTGGATGATGACAGGATTTGAATGATGACAGGATTTGAATGATGACGAGATTTGTATGATAACAGATGCAGGATGTTCGACTGCATATGTTTTGAAGGAGTCTGTTTACAGTGCAGAGTTTTATGGGTACTCTAGGATATATAGAATTATGTCCACATGCACTGGAGTTCTATTAAAGATTCGATATGCAGCAAGGACACTCTAGGTTTAGAATGGTGATTATGTCTAAATGCACTGTTCTGTAACCTTTACATTCGATGAAGAATTTTATGGGTACTCTAGGTGGAGAATAGATGGAACTACGTCTACATGCACTGGGGTCCTGTAGGAGTACCTTTGGAGTTGGGCAGACACTCTAGAGTTCAGGGTTACATTGCATCCTGTCTAGGTGTAGTGTTCTGTAAAAGTCTCAATGGGTTCCATCTGCAGTACAAGAGGCACTCTAGGTTTAAAATATGTTGAATTACGTCTACATGCACTGGGGTCCACAAGAGTCCCCATGGGATCAATGTGGAGTTATAAAGGTACTCTAGGTTTAGGCTATTTTAGACTATGTCTAAGTGCCCCAGCATTCTGTAAGAGTCTCTATGGGCTCAATATGGAGTACTAGAGGTACACTAGGTTTCAAATATATTGAATTGTGTCTGCATGTAGAGTATGTTGATTATGTCCAGGTGCACTAGGTTTCCATAAGAGTCCATGGTTTCAATGTGGAATTATAAAGTTACTCTCAGTGTAGTTTATATTAGACAATGTCTAGGTGCACTTGGATCCTGTAAAAGTCCCTATGGGTTCAATGTGCAGTTGAAGATGTACTCTAGGTTTAGAGTATGTTGATCATATCCAGGTACACTATGGCTCCATAAAAGTCCATGGTTTCAATATGAAATTACAAAGGCACTCAAGACATGCTGGATTATGTCTAGGTACAAATTGTCCAGATCTAAACATCTTCATACCCAAAACTCACTAGACTTTTCTGTATTCGTTCCGTTCGTCGCAAAATATTAAATTCGCTTATCACTGTTAGCACGCTATCTCCTCGTCAAAATGTAATTAGCGATTCACAGTTGATAACGGTAATATGTAGGCTCTCGAGATTAAATTCCTCCGATATTTTCCCTGAGTCGTACGGAAAAGGAAATAGCATACGTGTTTATGATTCCGCGACGTGTCACAAGATCGCGGCTCGACAAGCTCCTCTGTACCAATCTAAATATTTAATAGATTAATCGCGAAGGTCGTAATCAATCGAGTCAATCGTTGTTCGTTAACCGTTTCGTAGGAGATTGTCGGCGCGTGGGTTATTATAAAGATTCGCGAACAGGGTCAAACGCAAGAAACTGAATACCAAAGATTCTTGGAATCACTGGGACTGGACGATAAAGCGTTTACACCTGCATCGATTAGCATCTTTCATTAAAATTAATGGAGAATCGATACTAATCCTCCTACGATCGCGTGCATGCTCTGCGCGCACTGGTGCTGCGCTAATTAACCCGAGTATCTGCGTCTGACCGAGATACATCGGTGCATTGAATTTGATTTTAGAGGCAGCCAAGCAGCGAGCCACCGTTCGAGGCCCTGATATTCGTCAATCAATATTTTACCGACTATCAACCATGCGTACATCTGCTCTAGCGACACGAACCACCTGCATTTTGCAGTATGCAATCGCGTGGGATCGGTACCGATAATGATTTTCGATCTGTTAATTAACTCCATATCGAGCTTCTCTTTAACGAACGGGAACGTGTCCCACATGTTCAGACGCCTACGATAAAACTGTTTTATCTTGCCAGATAACTGAGCGGTCGATACATTTTTAGGATAGATGGTTCCTGTCTCCACTAGGTAAGTGACAGATTCATTTAATTATTATTCAAAGATATAAACATCTGTTATATTCTTAAATGTTCACTGTTTCTGGAATATTTTCTAGTAATTTTGAGCTGATCGGAAAGAAATTGATTACGTATTAAGATTATAAACATTCGAAGTGGCGCTCGATGCAGCTACCTTCATTTTCAACAGCCGCCATTTGCTTTTTAATTTTTCTAGTCTACCTACAAGGTTCTAAAGTGACAAACATTTAAAACTTCTAAAATACTAAAATCCTAAAACTTAACACTAAAAAAACTAAACAAACAAAAGAACTGTATCACAGAAACCTATATGATCTACACCCTATATCTCTTTGTAAACATCTGAAAGTGAAATGAGAACAGCACAATTTTATTGAACTTCAACAGATATAAAACATAAAAAATCTACATTGCCACTAATATTGTAATAATTGCCAGTTTTATCTACCAAATAGTGCAAATAATTGCATTTTTTATCACTTCCGGTCAGCTGTAGGGGCTGAGAGGAGATAAAGCTTTTAAAAGCGCGTTAACGCTCTCAAAGGGCAAGTAATCTTCCGGAAGCACTTTCGATATATCGATAGTGGTTTCCGGCGTGCCACTCAATTGTTTGAATGCGTTACGCGCTTGCACCAATTCCAGCAAAACGTTTTTAAAGAGCACCTGAAAATAAGTGTAATAAGTATTCTGTATGTATGTGGTTGATTCTATAAATGCTTGCCTCGGTTCCAAAATAATTTGCAATACCAATACATCCTACTAGTCCTCTCCCGTGAATATAATATCCCAATTTTCGCCTCCTTAATCCGAAACAATAAACTACGTTCTGCTTTCTACACGCATCGAGCAATTTATCAATTTGATCGTCCAGTCCGCCTAAAATGTTGCAATTAATCTGTGAATTTATTTCTCTATCGAAACGCACGAATCTTGGCAATTACCCTTAAGGTCAACTTTCTCGAGATCAGGGGCAATAATCACGAATTTAATCTTGTTTAAGTCGATCTGTTTGCGAACTTCCTTTAAACCAGCGTAATAGCGACGTTTGTACTTGGACTTGTTCGGGTATTTTTCGTGAAATCTCTTCTGAAATCTACAGATTTCCCTCAAAAATTGTTCGAGACTTTCGTTTAGGCTTTTTATCAGCATATTTGTACAATATCTGCAAGATGAACAGATTCCCAGAGTCAATATGCTGACTGGTTTGCCATCGTTCAAGTTAATTGTAGCTATGGAAGTTATCGTAAGGAGCAGGCTGCAGGATAGGTAATACAACTTAATAAACATTTTAATGATACGATACATAATGTTTATTATGTATATGAACAAAAACAATGGTTTGAGCATACAAATTCATGTTATACAATGGTATGAAGTAAGACTTAAGTATTATATAAAGTTCAGAATAGTGGGCTATTTGATTATGTACAGATTGAAATACTTACTCTCTAAAACTGCGAGAATATTTTATTAAGTTCGTATCTTCTACTTTTACGCTAACATTTTCTTGTTTGATTTCTTCTTTAATGTCATCGTTTAATTCGAAGGAAAGAGTTTGTGGGACAATATCATTTTCAATTACATTCGTGTCAAACCGAGGGAGATCCTGTCTGTCTGTATTCCCTAGCAATCTGTTCGGCAACTGTCTGCCTTGAATGTGAAGATTATTTATTTGTTCGATTATATCTGGCCTATAGTAGATGCAGCTTTCAAAAACATCATTCGTGTTCTTGTCTCTGTAATCCTTATCATACAGTGTCATCGTGCACATTCTTCTAACATAATTTGGATCTGTATCCGGATCTGTCGTGATTTTTAAAGAATTAAAATTAAGTGTATCTACATCCTTGCACACAGCCTCCATCTTAGCACGTTCAAAATCTTCTCTTTTCTGTATATTAATTTGGGCTTTGATATTGCGATTGAGTAAAATGATTTTCTTCAACTTTGATGGCTTTTTATCCTTCAGGATACAAACTCTAACTTTCCTAAGATCAGAATCTTTGTTTCGGTCTGTTATACCCGGTGATATTATACCAAGGTTTCCCTTGTACAAGTTAATCTTCAATCTAGGCAGATCTTTATTGCATATCTTGTTCACACACCTAGTATTCTGTAAATAAGATTACAAAGTTAATAATCCAGTTGATTTATTATCTTAAATCTAGTTATAATTACCTGTAAAGCTTCCTGCAAATTAATACAAATCTTGTCCGTTCTTCTATAACGTTTTACAGTCTTGGACTGTTTCGGTTCCGCGTTCGATTCCATAGGTACTATAATTTTGATATAAGGATTCGACAAGCAATACTTTTTGGGTACAATTGAATTTCTGCTCCTAGTACTAGCCTCACCAAGTTCTGGATACTCAAGCTCATCCAAATTTATTATTCTATCACTTTCTCTAAGACTCAAGTCCTTCTTACGTACAGAATGCTTGGCTTGATTTTTTTGATCAAGTTCTGGCCACTGACTACTAGAACTGCCATTTTCGCTTATACTAAACAGCAATTTAAAAATGGAAATAAGACATTGACCATATCGCACAACGTTTACGAGCTACTTACAGAAATGACCATGTCATATTATCGATATGTGATCTCCGCATATCGCCGTATTCGATATACAGTTACGAGACGTCTCGCCGAGTATTCATCAAGTCTTAAGAGTTCAATGACGTTGCTATATATATCAGAAATACTGTCATAATTGTTAAAGAACACCCTTCACTATCAACTACGCAGAACATACGTTTACTGCAGTACATAAACAAAACACTATCATGTTGTGCCCACAAACAAGTTGACAAACAAAAGGTCCTAGAATGCAGATTGTTGAATTCACTAGTTTGCAAATTTACACATGCCAGCAATAAATTCTTTATATATTGTACTCGCGTTTTGTTATAGAAGATTATAAGCTGTAGACTTTGAGTAAAATTTGAAAATTTCAGGGAACAAGAAACTATACCACAGGTTGCCAGCACTGTTGACCCAAATCTGGGTATCGAAATAATTCAAGTTCTGTTGGTAGTTCTAAAGGTATTTTAGGCTATGTTTACCTTTATATTTATCTCGAAATGAGGATGTAATTATTTCATCTGCTTAATGTGTTATTGCAAAATAACTGATGAATCAAAGTAAACACGTTGCACAAGTTTTATTTTTATGCAGGCAAGTTTATACTGCCGCGCATTTGAAACGGTACAGGTAGCGGCATCTGACGGTCGAGCTGTAAAACCATTCGAAGAACTTTAAAAATGACTAAGAGTTACCGATATCGTTTTCTAAATATTTTTAATAAACCTTAGAAAATGATATTAAGATAAAACTTAGGATTTACTATTACAATTTCATTTATTCAACGATATTTTGGTTTAAGAAAATATTATGGATGCTTGATAAATGTATGATGTGGTAGTCCAAGAGTCGTGCATTAAAAGTGCATGATGAAGTAAGTATATGATGGTAAATAGATATTTGCTTTTCAACTCTGTAAAATTGATAAAAATACCTGGAAAAGACAATATTGTATACAGAAAAATTATTACAAATGTACTCCAACTTATTAGAGATTGACATGAAAGCTTACCTCGATCTAAATTTCCCGCTCCTTTGTACAAACAATTGAAAATGTAGAACAAATTTTAATTAAATTCGTAGCTCTCAGCTCGGTATAGTTTTCTAAGACTTAAAAATCTTTAGAGAACTATACCGATTACCGGGTCACACCACGTGGAGGTGGCTACGATAGTGACCCACCCTAACTCCAAATCCCTTCCACCCTCCAAATGCAACCTCATTTATCAGAAGGATAAATGAGTTCTCACTCTACATACAAGTTCTTTATCACAATCCAGTAAAGAACTTGTATTACACACACACACACACACACACACACACACACACATCCATTAACTTAATACAAATCGCATTGGATCCCACACACGCACGCTTAACTTAATCTAAACGCCGCACGGTACCTCTCATTCTAAGATTACACTCAAATAATCTACGACGAAGTAAAAAAGCAAAGGGGCAAAAAAGAAAGTTAGAAGAACTTTCTACTAAAAGAGAAGAAAGTTAGAAGAACTTTCTACTAAAAGAAAAGAAAGTTAGAAGAACTTTCTGTGAAAAAGGGGGACAGTTATTTTTCGCCAAGCGAACCTTGCTTTCCATGG